ATTTTTCTTATTATTAATGTGTAGAACATAAGTGATTCCCACCAAAATGAAACATTTTTTTAGATAACCAGACCACGAGTTAGTTGCGAATTCCCCTTCGATGCATACCGGGAACTTGATGTTTTTTGTAGCGTTGTACTTGAATACTTGGACACTCAGTACATAGAAAACAATTACGTCAGCGCGAACTTCCGATACAACTGGCACGGAAGAACTCGTTGTGCTAGAAGTTGGGTAAGGCCAGTTTAACCTTGCCCTTCTCAACTCATTCTATATTTATTTGGCACAAAAATCAAAACGACTACAAAATACCGCAATCCAGCGCTGTCTTTTCCCTATTGGAGGACTCCTAGTGAGTGAGATTAAATGATATGACTGGATGCAAGCAGTCTAAAACTCATCCGGGTCAAATTTTTCGTTAGTAAAGAGGGGATTTGACTGCTTACACCTAGTTACTGGCAGAGCATGTCTGGCTCTGTTAGAAACCTTGGGATATATCTCCATTCTTAACATCCTAAGTAGGTTTTGCGAAATGCTGTCAGTATCAGATTCAGCTATTTCTATCTGATTAATAAGCAAAACATAATCTTGCCATTTCCGTTTGCATGAAGCATATGCCAATTTATTCATAAAATATTGCGATTATTGGCAGAATCCTGAAGTATATTTTCTACCAATACATTCGGGAGCTAAGGTAACAATTTTCTTTCTCAATAGCTCCCAAGTTTTGTCTAAAAGTTGTGTTAATATACGATGAAAGTGATGAAAATATTTGCCATAATAAATTGGCTTTTTCAAAATTATTTTTCTAATTTGACTCTTTCAATTCCAGTTCAAACCATGATGCATATGGCCGTTGTTGCCTTCCGAAGATGTAGCATGCGTTATAAGCATTCCTTATTCACATTTAATTAAAAGTAGTCCAGTATGGGGAATTTTTAAAGAAGAAATAAAGATTTAAGGCTAAATTTTTACCTCTTACAAGGGTTTCACAAAGTTAGTATTCATCATCCACATCGACCGCCTGATAGACTTAAATGCTGCTATCAGGTAAACCGAGTACTTCCACACTGTGACAGCAACCGCGTCCATTTGCACTTCCCATCATGTCGAACTTCGCATTGTTTTACTTCCACATTGGAAAGTTCAGAAGCCACCTCTGAAATGATTTAAGCAACACAAACATCTGAATTCCCGTAGTCCAAGAAAAAATTTACATCCAAAGAGTAATGCTTTACCTTATGCTCTGTCTGCTCCAAAGGCGACGGTTATAAAGGACTTTCTCTTTTACAATGACTTTGGGGAAAAAAATGAATCAACTCGACCACCCCATTATTTTTAACTGGGCAGTTGCATGTTAGTCCTAGAGCATTTGTAACTAAATTACCTAACTTCAAAAATCAGAAATGAAAGCAGTCAACATTACCACAATTTTATATATAGGAGGTCGAATAATCTGTATCGTATCATGGAAGGTACGGGGTCGCCCTCCGGACCAATCACAATTCTTTTGGCGATCGATTCGTGGCTGCCCAATTTAATATATATTATACTAATTGATAAAGTCCTTTCGATAGTGCTTGATACACCAGCTGATCCATTTGACTATGAAAAATTCATCGTTGATTAGCATCTTCATTATTGCCGAAGTAACTAATTAGGGTAGATAAGGGTGCTTTTGCATTTTGATTTTGTAGTCATAGAAGAGACTGCGGATTAAAAAGTGAAATGAAGACCAAGGCTCCCAGGTCACGAAACCTGAGTATTTCGATTAAGTGTTTAATAAAATTCCGCGTAATCTCTTTTACAGTAACGGGTAAAGAGAAGACAATTTATAGGTTGTTTAAGACTGTCAAGGTCACCGATTCTATAAATAAAATGGCCATTTAAGAATGTAGAATTTTTACCAAGTAATCTTCGAATTTTAGCTACGCTTTAGGCTTTTTACAGTCTTGACTCAAGTTTTCTGTTTTTCGGTAGCGAATCCTAAGTTCCTAAGCATTAAAGTATAGATTGAAAATCATTTGTCTAAGTTACTGATACTAATGCATAGTAAATACTCTCTTTTGACTTATTTTAACTAAGTGGATGATTTATGGAAAGTGTGCTAAATAAATCAATCTGATGTAGAGAGATGTTAACTTGGGGGATCCCGACAAAGAGGAACATTTAACAAGTGAATTAAAAGCGCCGAAGGAAGCACAAAATCAACAGGCTGGAAATAAGGAAGAAAGAGAGGAGGAAAACTGCAGCAAACTTCTTGGAAGATAAGACCCATGTACAGTGTAAAAGTGAAAAGAAACCAAAAGATGGATGGTGTACACCTTAGTAAAGCAACAGACCTTAGCGGGAATGATTGATGGACAAAGAAGACAAATCGTTACCTGAATGGCGGGGAGCATAAGAAAACCACGCGGATACTGAATCGTTCAATCAGCTACATGTGGTCTAACAAACTACAACAATCCGCTGCTCGCCTGACGGATTAGAAGAGGTTGAATATACGGGAAATAACGAGGGGAAGAGGTGGAGGAGGAGATGAGGGCGAAGGATTGACTAGTCATTATTTTGTAGAAATTTCAGCCCGAGCTTTGCATATTGAGCATTTGCTAAATGCGACTTCACGGAGTTACACTCCAGTCCTAGTAGATGGTGGATTGTAAGGGGATTAAAAGGAGGACCACAGCCAATGAGAATCGCCTTTGCGTCCAAACGGATAAGGCTAACCGGATCCAAAATTTGACCTATGTGCCATTTAGTATAATTGGGGAAATACCAGTGTGTGGCCATCATGATCATCAGTGAAGTTAGTGTCAAGCCCGAACTAATCCTTTTGTGGTCCCGATGAGGAGGGCAGCAATTCCCTCCAGTGTGAGGATTACGCCAAAGTGGATGAACTTGGGGTTGATGGATGGGAGGGTGGATGGTGTAGTGTGGATTTAGGATTTAAGAAGAGACAAAGTGAAGTGTGACTAGGATAAAACAGAGTGCTTTTTAACAAACGGATAACAACTTTTAATTCAATTATTATTAAATCAAAACCATCACATTTACTTGGTTTTGGAGTGAAAAATTATTTGGTACATCGGAATGGAATATCTGCATGCCAGGATCATGTGACTGACCCTTCAAGAGAAAGTTTGTGTGGGGTCTGTGATACTCTTGTCCATTAAGTAGGACTGAGTAACTATGCGCGAGACGTGCGTTAGTCAACTGTGAATGACTCATTGAGGCTTGTTGATGGCGTTAAAATGAATTTGCAAAGGGTGAAAATGAAAAATGAAGTGGTATACAACACTTCTACTGTTGGACTAGCCTTCGCAGCAATTGCACCGAGATTACATACATTTTACCTTATTCAATCTCACTTGGCTTGAGAAACCTCTCGCCTTCTTTTGAAAACCTGCTTGAACTTAGTTCCAAAACTACAGAAATCACTAGAAGGAATTTTATTGTGCAGCAATTGATGAAATAGCGACAATGAAATGCACGGCCTAGTTGTTTGAACAACTTGATTCCGGTAATGAGTTATCAATACTTGCATTTTATGACAAATCATATCAAACGCGTGCCAAGAACAAATCTCGTAATATTTCACGTGAATGTGGCGAAGATGCGAAGTCTATGCATCCACTAGCAGATGACAGACTGTGACTGTCAATTTGTTGTTGTTCGCATCTTTCGCGTACTCTACAGAAACACACCTAGCACTTGAGACTACACCCTGATGAGGATTGGTTTTTATATTCCCTCTCCAAACTCCTTAAGCAAACGAGCTATTAGCGTTTACTCTGAAAAGTCTACCCACTATCCACCCACACGCCTAATCTACGAACCACCTTACGCCCAGTGGCTAACACTGCCCTTTTTCTGCATGAAGCACATAATAGCTCAAAAGTGGGACTGGAGGCAAGTTTGCGTTTTCTTGGCAAATGGTTGCATATTGCAATTCCTACCGTTTCGATGAATAAAATATTTCCTAGGACGCCTTTTCTGATTTATTACTTCTTATTACAAAAGGCACATAGACTTACTTGTTTACCTTATAATATAGATGAGATTACAACTGTGAGATACTCTCTAGGTTCCACTAAAACCAGCAGTCAACTGGGCCGGCAAACGGTCTCATACAAACAGTTAAGGCGGCTGTGAGGAATCAACAACACCTGTTACTTTCATGCCGAATATCAAGGAATGTACCAGATCTTAACTTCCAAAACATATTTTACTCCTTTTGGTGGCTAAAAGTAGATTTGATGTTCCAGAAAATATGAGCATGTCAACCACATTTGAGAAAATGATTTCCAGATGCTACTGACTTACTTCTTTTTATTCCAGCTGAACTTAAAGAATCCAACATTTGGGGACTATTGCGGGCGAGTTTATACTGTTTACGGTAGATTCGCAGATTCTGCGCTTAAATGTAAAAGACATTATCGCCTGAGATGATGAAAGGTGCAAAACAAAAAACAGGAGAGCCAATACATCTCCGCAGACATGCATTCCCCGTATCAGGATAATTTCACTTCGCTAGCCGAGTTGTCATTAGGGGAATGGAGAAGTTTAAACCCGGTTGATTTTGCATTGTATACACAAATTGCTCTAAACGTCAAATCAGTACATTTGCAACTGCAAGGAATGAATCAGGAACCAAAGGTTTGATTCACGAGCACGCAGCTGCGAATAATATAAACTGATTGAAAGATCCGCTAGTGTTCTGATTAGCAACAACCTAAGGTGTATGGCTCAGCCTATGTGTTAGGTTCCAACAATAAGTAAAAAAGCATAAGTACAGGGGAGCAAATGGTTCATTCAGACTTGTAGGAAAGCATACAAACACCACCAGAAAATATCATAAAGCTATCAAAAGTGGCCGCTCGAGGGAATAAAACCACAACGAAATATGTACCAAAATTGATACAAAAGGAAAATACTGGATAAAATAAATAGCTTGATCCAGCTCATGGCAAAACATATGGCATTAGCTGAAGAAGACCATCATGCAGTCGACAACTCACCAAAAAGACAATTGCTTCCCCTTTACCAACGAGGTTGAGGTAAGTGAACAAAAAAGTAAAGAGGCAGCTCTGCACTTCCATTCACGCCAGCAACAACTTTCACATGGACTGAATGAAGTGCGAATGAAGCGCAGCTGTTAAACTGCCCAAATGGTTAAGGAAGCATCGCAAAACATGGTAAAAGAAGCACACGAAGAAGGCGTGCAGAAGGCAGTTAACCATATGTTATGCCAGAGTGAGGTTTAAGCGATAGGCAAGGACCATAAGGGAACAATGGGGCTTATGTTCCGATTAGTGGGCAGTGGAGCGCCCCAAAATCCGTTGTGGAGAAGGACCTACCAGGATGGAAGGGAAAAACAGAGGTCCTAATCATTAACAGCAACGACAGAGACGTTGTTAAAAGCAAACCCACAAAAAGGGCTACTGCTGTGGACGATAAGGATAAAGAAGAGGAGTGCATAGAGACAGGTTAAAAAGAGATAATCAGAAGTTGGAGATGGAAGAGCATCTTTCTGCATCTCTTTTAAAGACGGCTCATTAAAGTCACGGTACAAAAGAATGCCATCGGTAAGGAACATCATTCCTACACTTAAGTAATGTATATTCCTTCCCTACATGTTAGTTTTAGGTGCATGATATCAAAAAGGAATTGTGCAGACCCCTGGTTGGTAACCGGGCGATTTAATAAGACTCACTATGCAGTTAAAAAGATAAACAAGTAATTTTAAGATTTAATTAACTGTCAGATCATCTTCCTAAACCCTTAGTTTTTGGACATAAACTTGATAAGGAACAAGTCTGCTAAAAATACGCATTATTTTGTATCATGATGCTATTTAATTATAAGCCTACTGAGGTGCCGAAACTTCGAATATAATAGGTCCGTTTGAAACTGGATGGTCTGCGTGGCTTTGTTGCGTAAGAGAAATTTCATTAAGGCTTACAAGTGGTTCCGCAATTGTAAAAGAAATTGTGCCGTCGTTTATTTGCTGATGAAAGCATTGCTGTATTTTCCGATTTTGCGAATTCTTTTCAGTATTGATAAACAAAGACTCCAGAACAGATGTCTTTTTTGAAATCTGAACAAGTAAAGGGTGACATGGTGAGTGGGGATAGGCCTAGCGACTGGGCAGGGTGGAATGCCAGATTATCATTATTTATGGTTTTGGTTTCGCATGCTTTCAGGAACCGATTGATCACGGCATTCGAGTGAGTACTAGCACACCTGTTGAACTTTCAAGTATCATCCTTCACTCAGGAGGACTGAGCGAGAAAGCGACTGTAGAATGTTCGAGGATTAGTCGTAAGTCGAAAAATCATAGAGGGTTTTATGGGCTTGCAGATAATCCCAGCAGAATTATAAGCCTTTTAAGGAGCAAATATTGTGCTACCTTGTTTCAATCATGTTTTTCTGGTTTAGCGTGTTTGCTTATCACCCTGTTGTTTGAACTCAGCTTCCACCAAAATGGTTAGTCATTTTAAATGCATTTTTTTTCGAGAAAGCCTTTATTTCATCGTCTTAACTGTATTTATCGGTTAAAATAATATACCTTCTTTAATCCTTTGAAGTATTTTGTAGCCTTCCTTTGAAGTGATGCGGCACTATGTAACGACCTTTCACTTCTTCGGCAAGAATGCACTTGGCAAAAATTAAAGCTGCACAAAAAATTATACGAAATGTTTTAAGGCAAAAATGTCCTTGACATGGTACATTAACTCACTGAAGAGAAAATAGCATTTTAGGTCTCGTTTATATTCTCTCCAGTCAAGTTGTCTTAGTCGCCTTAGTTTACAAGGCTGCAACCGACAAATCCCACCACTGAATATAGGGGTCCTGCGACATGCAAAAGAGAGAGGAGAACTGCGTCTTTTTAGCCTTCGTAACGACCGTTTTTGCAAGTCATAGCTTTCTTTTCTTCGCAAAATTTGGACTTTAAACTAGTTATTCTCCCAGCAGCTCAACTTTGCCGCAGTAGAGGCATTTGGTCAACGTTATTTGGACTGTCTGGTAAAGTCAGGAGGTAAGCAAGGAAATTTGGCCAAAGTCACATCCAAAGTCTGACAAGGGTGCGGTAAATTGTAAGAGCATTAGAAGGGTCACATTGGTGATCACTCACGAATGAACACGAATGGAAGCTTGGGGTCTTTATGGAGGACATTTCCATCAAAGGGTCAGAGTCACGTTAAAATTTGACCACTTCACTCATTCTCTTGCCTCTTTCAAAACGTTAACTTAACTTTTTATTGCAATAAACTGCTAAGAAATTCTTATAGCAAGTCATGTGCTCTTTTAGCAAAAGACGTTTGACATGATACTGATGCTTTTCTGCTCGCAAGACCACATTTGTGGCTAACAAAAATGACTAGCGGGCTTTTAAACAAGCTGTAAAAGAGGCTTAAAATGTACTTTTATTGTTCGCCAGACGTGCATTACTACATTTAGAAGTCAATGGGACATAATATGAAGAAGTCTGCCCTGAAATTTGTGGCACTATTCTAAGACTACTAATTTATATGGAATAACGGCACATCTCTGTTCCCATTTCCGCTCTCATTCATAAGCAGTGTATTTTTTCCCCTCGGTGCTCAAAAACGATACAAATACTTTTAACGATGGTACACATTGAGTTGTCCATTGTTTCCGTTTTATAGCTTCAGCTACACGTACCCGAGGAGGTATATATAACATGGACGCAAAACTCTCGCGGTATGAGTGATGCATCAGCTGTCCTCAATGGTAAGGAAAAGTTATTTTATTTCTTTCCACACACTTTTCAACCTTGCTCAGCACATTCTAACGAAACAAACATTTTTTTCAACGGATTTTCTAACGATGGGGACATTGTTTTGTTACTTGCAGAAGTACCTGGTGGCCATCATTGTAATTCAGAGCACTTTGGTATGCAAGAGCACAACTTCTGCAACTTTACTCCAATGCATATTTAGGGTGCACTTGAAAATAAATCATTCCCGAAAATTCGCGAGGCTGCTTTCGACTTCACCTACAGCTTCAAATGTCCAGACACAGTGTTTGTGAATAGAATTTTCCAGTGCAACCTCACAGTACTCTACGAAAACAGAGTTAGAGCCACAGTACAATGGCAAGGCAGACCGCCATTAAGTCACGAATTCACAGGTTCGCTGGTGTGTTATGCGTGATATGGATGTTGTGCTGTGCTGTGTCGTATACTGTCATTCTTCATTATCTTTCATAAGTGCCTCAGTAACAACCAATGCTTCCGGATCACGAAATGCGCACATATGTGTATGGGCATGTGTACATGTACGTATTTTACTTTTGGAACTGAAGCCATGATTCCCATTTAGGAGCGGTCACACTTTTGTTTCAGAACAAAACCTCCTACCGCTTGGTGTGGCATCATTGAAGCGCTATGAAGGCAGTTTTATAAACTGCGCTTTGCCAGAGAACTTTGCCTACGGTCCCGTGACCTTTGAATCCGGCCACCTTCGTTCCATTGCAATATCCACAGATGGAGACAAAATCAAGTTTATAGTGAGTCAGCAAACTGATACACAGACAGACAGGCAGGTAGACAAGTGGTCAGGATGAGTGAGAGACGGACACCCACAAAATCATTTTAGTTATGTTTGCTTTCCATTTAACGCATTATTGCAAATTTAAATGATTTATTTTACATTCGTGGTCTACTTTTAATGAGAAAACAACTTTTTTGAAGCATGATCGTCTTAGTTGTCCTGATGGAAGTGTGGTGGATTATGAAAACAGAATGTGCTCGAATGGAAACCCCGTAGTTCTCGATACCCACGTGGTACGTGTCGCTTACCCCCATTTGCTTCATCTCCCTTCTCACTTCCCCGACCTTACTGCACATTTTCTCTCTTTGTCACTTTCTTGCTTTCTGCAATTTTTGTTCACATTTACTTATCCTCTGTACCACCGCCTGTAGATATGGACTACACCTTATCCGAAGTCTGAGATCCAACCGTATGAAATCCAAGATCCGTGCAATTTCTTGAAAGGCGATGAAATTCGAATTGAATCTGCCAATAATATGAAATGCGTAAGAGTTAACAACTTGAATCCATACTTACCGACTGACTCGCTTCCTGCGGTAAGTCAGCTAATTTTACACCGAAACTGTAAACCACTGTCAAATAATGAAGGAGGCTACTTTCCATTATTATTAGAGTGTATAGAAGGGCTGGTAGCCCACTGGCAGAACTAAAATGAAGCGAATGCCATGCCACTAGGGTGTGGTGAACGATTCGTCCACAGACCGAGGTGTCAATTCAATGCGATGGGAAGTTGAAGAGAATTTAATTGTGCCCGATTTACTATTGACCACTTTCAAAGTGGTCTCCTAGATGGTCCAGGCAAGTGATCGCTTGATGGCCTGATAGCCTTGAGGGTCCAAATCCACTGTGATGAAGGCCGGATCTAGGCAGAATGACCCGCGTAAAAACGTACACAATTAATTAGGATATCGTCCTTCATGGCGTTTCTTGCAATGATCCTTCTGCATCAGCTATCCTCAAATTGGTCCCATGAACTGAGGTTAAATGAGAGAGCTATTCAGAGATCACTAGTTTCTCTGTGTTAGCAAACAAATCCGGGAGTGTAAATACGGCGAAGCGTCTTGAGGATGAGACGGGGTCAATCAGTCTTCTCCTTTTTAGACAAGCTGTGGGGAAAGTATTTGCTCAATAAGTGTTGCCTAATCCTGAACAATGATATATGGCGGACATATTTCACTTGCCACTAGCTAGTCCTAAGCAGGGCTCGGTAATTCTTCCTCATTTTAATCCTCCATTCTCTGTCAAACTATTGAAGGCGATAATCTAGTACATACAACCCTTCCACGAAAAGGTGTTAGGTCCTCAGGATTATTTAATCATTCAGGGCCTTTGAGTAGGTAGTCGGTAGGTCAGTCAGGCAGTTTGTTTGTTATTAGGCTTTTAAGGAGGAATTAAATTTCTTATTAACCTTTACCTAGAGTTAAAAACGAAGGTTGACAATGTTTCAATGAATGATGCCACCTGAAACACATACTTGCTTTTTCCATTTACTACATGCCAGTTAGTCGAGTCTTTAAAACCAGATGTGCTATTTAATGGCGCCATAGCATTGTTAGAGGGTAAGAGACCCCGACTATCCCCGAATACACTCTTAGTGAGGAATAAAGTCATAATTTGTAGATACAACTGAACTTGTATTTGAATGAAACAATGCATTTCTACGGATCTTTCATCGAAGAAGGTGTGCACACAGTAATAGCCATACTGGAACCCTATGCCTGGGAGCAAGAAGCCACACCAAAGCGTGTTGAAGTTCCTATCAGTGTGCTTCCTTCCAGTACCCCTTTGTCTCCAGGATCTGGTATGTTCACCTCGATAAACTGAACACATGATAGGACCAGCTGAACCAATAATTGGTGGAATTTCCATATTCGAGAAAGTGGGGTCCAAACTTCTCTCTGGATGTGGAAGACGGTTTGATATCTTTAATAGGAGGAGCGTAATTACATTCAAGGTGAATATCATTGAAGGGAGAGCCAGGGAAGTAAAGTGGTGTTTAAGGAGTCGGCAAAACATTGACCAGTATTTTGAAGAAACGGTAGCGGGTATTGAATATACAGCTAACTTTGTTTTAGCGGTAAGTGATGTGTATCGGCAGTAGAAATAACTACACAATAGGCGGGCCAATATTCAATAACCGCCGTCGCGAATGGTGATGATGGCCTCAGTTTACAGGCTAATCGCTTCTTTGAAATCCTCGATAATGAGGATTTCATTCTTGCATGCAAAAACTACCGACAAAATATCATGGACGGGACTGAACTTATTTGGTCATTTCCAGAGGTATGGCCCATGCGGTTGCGGTTTGAAATCCTTCACCGAACTGGCAACTTCCACTACTTTCCGTGGAACAATCAGCGTATATGCCTTTCACCGAAGCTCCGGTTCAATTCACTGCTCAGCTCCGATACAAATGAGGTAAGAGTCGCATGCTACCAATGTTGATGATGTTATCATTTCTAGAAAATTGGTTTTCTTTGGGCAAAAGTGAACATTCCAGCAGAAAAAAGGGCATTTGAAGTAGCGGAGATGGATAGCGATATATGTATACCTGCGGCCGAATTGAAAATAAATGAATTATATGAGGTGACTGTGTATGCTAATACCTCAACCAGAATTGGTCGAGATACACACAGAATACGGCTGGGAAGGAGCTTGAGAGCGAACTTATCCATCAGGCAAGAAGTATGTCTTCTCATTGCAAAATGTTGCAGAGTCATGAAACCACGATTTACTGCGGAGACGTTGGCTATAAGATCACCCGAGCATGTTGTGCTTAGAGGTGCAATTGATGGTGACGGTGATTACAAAGATGCCGAATTTCATTGGCATTTTGAAATGCAATTTCCCAACAGTTCAATTCAGAATGTTTCGGAGGAAATGATGCATTTAACTGAGGGTAAAGTGATAAATAAACTTTCGGATTATGAGAGGTGTTCCGGTGAGAGAGGAGCTTTTAAGTTGGTAAAAGACAAGAAAGAAGTGAATATAAGGACATTTTTGAACTCATCCTAGCACTTATGCACTATCTTAAATGCAGCATCAGCAGTGAGGCATTTAGCAACATAACAGAACCATCCTAGGACAACCGGCAATTTTACCAGAAGGTATACGCCAACCATTTGTTTAGGGTTAGAAATACCACACACTGTCTCAGCGTCAAGCAGAATGACTGCTGTAGTTGTTCACTGCAGATCAAAACTTTAATGACTTACTATTGATCGTGAGGGTGTTATAACTCTGTACTGCGCTGTGCTTGAAGATGCTTTGTGCTACCAGACAGCCACAAGTTTTACCACTTCTCTCAGCACCACACGCTACTGCTACATACACACATGCACATACGCTTGTTAACATTGCCGTCGACAATCATAGCTAGACGCGCCTAAAATGGTGACGTATAGTGTGGCTGCGTAACTGTCGCATCCCATTTAAACAGATGAAATTAAAAGTCACGACTTGATTCGGACACCTCTTCCAACTTTGCCAAGTTGCTTATTCACACTGCTGAGGCTGTGTGCACCTCCATTTGGTAGGTTCGAAAACAAACACACTTGTAATCCTTCCTGACTTCCTTCGTCAACTGCCAGTTCAAGGGCAACTGGATGCCTGTATGAGAGTGAATCACCCCCATTTGGAAAATCTGAAATCCTGTCTAACAGTCGATGTCTGGTCAGCGACTACATGCGACCACTGCTCCCTTGAAGCTCCAAATTTCATTCGCGAGTTTCAACGTGCCTGCATGACCTGTAGTTGTCCGCCGATTCTGGGAAAATTTGAATTTTATGGTAAAGCAAATTCTTACCGAGATTGATGTGAAAACGTTGCTCTAGCAAAAATGCATGAGGACCAGATAACTCTCGGCATCGCTGAAAATCCCTCGTTTTGTAGCATGTTACCTCTGGTTGAGGAAGACATTCGGATGTGCATTCGGAGTCTACCTAGTTCCAGTTTATACATCAACAAGTGTTCCCATGCTCTTAGGGTGAGTGATTTCAAAACTCAATGAACTGTTACATTCATCTACATATTCATTCATTTATCCATCCATCAATCCATCCTGACTCCACTTATTTACTGGTTCAACTACTCATTCACTCATTTGTTCGTTCTTCCATTCATTCCCGATTCACCCGTGCCTATCCACCTATCTCTCCACTCTGTACCTATCTATCCATCCATTATTCAGCCGCTCCGTCTATCTGCCCGTCAATTTATTGGTTATGGCTAATATTCTTCATGGACGCTTTACCACTTTTAGTTCACTAGGAGTACACCAGATGAAAGTGAAAAACAAATGAACGATATTTTAACCGGAAAAAATGATATTCTTGAAAAGGCAATCGGTTCTAAAGATGCAAACACCATTTCGGAAACCGTTCAGGCAATATGTGCGCAAATAAGAGGATTTATGAACTCAGATCTCCCTCCGAGTAGGCCCGGTTTTTATCAAATGCTCACTTCTTTCAAAGAGCTCTGCCAATAGATCTAACAAATTTGCTTCTTCACCGCTTTAGGTCTACCAGCTGCTACAGACCAGAAACGAAACAGGATAGCTCAGGTTCGTCTTTGTGTTTTACATCCCAAAATACCTGCACAAATATGCCCAATTCTCACTCTATTGCGCCATTCCATTTCACACGCCACAAAACAATCATCTTGAGGCAATTGACGATTCAGTATTTGTAGTTATCCGAATGAAATTAAACCCAAGCATGTCCATCTAAGTGCATACTCAAGTAACTATGGTGATTTCTTCCACTAAACTCTCAGTTAGATCGCACATAATTTCATAGTTGACAGAGAAGCTAGTTGGTGCTCTGGAAAGTGTCAGCCTGGCCAACTATGAAAACCTGCTTCCATTGTCCTCTGGTCTCGAAGCCATTGCCACCATTGCCACGGAAATTACCTTCACAACAATGAACCGCATCCAGTCGAAACTAGCCGAAGCAGCATATGTGTTGCCACAATTGCTGAGTGAATCTTCATTCAAGAGCGTCTATGAGCTGGCTCGCAGGTTCACCAAAACTGCTGTCTATCTTCTTGAGGTACGTTCTTAAACATGACTGACGCCTTATCCTAGGGAATGCGTTATCAACACGAGAATCCCACTCCCGCACTCAAAAGCATCCAGCAGCAAGAACTTGACTATGAAACTGACATTGATGCAGATCGTAAGTTAGTATCATCTGGAATATCCCCATTTTGGTCGCCCCAAACGTGTTTAAAAGTCGGTTAGCTCATCCAAATATCTAGTAACTCCTCGTTCGTCCCAGTGAATGTCACCCTGATGAGCGATGTCTAAAGTGGACAAGTTCGGGCCACATTAGCTCGGTCATTAGCAAAGGGGTGCAGTACGGCATACAGAACCATCATTTTTACATCGATTGCTAAATTTGTGACGTCTAATTCCAGTCTCTGTCAATTTTAGCAATAGACTCCTTGGACACATTGATTTTGAATAACCTGCGGGGAGCCCAAATACTATCTGTGAGCAATTTTTGTCTAAATTTGACAGGTCTTAACCGGGCATGTTGAAAGCTAAGTTTAGAGTGACATTTTGCATCTGAATTCATTCAGTCACTCCCAATTTAATCCCAATTTTTCACTCATTCATCCCTTTTACTCCTTCACTACACGCATTCTCCCATTCTTATGCCAAGGGGAACTATTTGTGAGCGTTGTAAATGCCCTAATGGGACATTTTTTTACTGTTTACCAGGCAAAAGCAATGACTGGGGTGCTGGCAAAAATCGATGCCTTGTTAGCATCCAGTTTCCATGAAGTTCTTGTTCCCGGAGGCTCTATGTTCCAAGAGATCTTCAGTACTCATAATTCCGTTCGCTTCTGTCGTGTCATGACAAGGGATCTCTCCAATGACCACGTGGCTTGTGGCGAAAGTAAAATCGGCATTCCAAATGTCACGGACCTACTGAATTATGAGGATATTGTCGTACGAGTAGGTACTACCCAACATCCTACCTTGCACATCCGATGTGCATACTTAACCTGATGCATTATCCACCGATTTAGACGAGTAGCTTTACTGACAACATCTATGATTTTTTCAACCGCGGTCAGGACAATCCAGGATCAAATCTCGTCTCTTTAACATTCTACGCTGAGGGAGCAGCACTCAATTTATCTGACACCAAATTCCCGTTTCGTTTTACCCTCAGAAAGGTTAACTCTCAGGCCACTGTTTTAGAATACAGCGATACTTTCAAATGACCGCGTTAATGATCGTGCTTTTCTGCATAGGACACAAATGCAAGCGGCTGCACAAACAGTGATTTGGAGTTTGAGGAGCAGGAAGTACAACTACCAGAGCCCGTTGTGGCAGTAGATGGAACATTGGTTTATCAACTGCTCATCATGCACAGGTTTGAGGTTGATCAAGAGGAAGCTAACTTCGTCTTTCAACTTCATCCCAGTGAAACAGCAACCTGTCCCCAATACTTGGTGGTTGCAAGGTGATTCGCTTTGTTTACTCAACTAGCAAACGCTATTTTAATGCTTACACTGCAAAATGCCATTATTTAATGGCTCTTAGGTACACTATTCCACCAAATTTGCAAGTCGTGGACGATTATGGCTCGTTCTACTGGGCCATGCTTCCGTCCTCCACCTTGGCTTGTAGTAAGTTGTCGTTTTTTCCAAGTGCTGATTAAAGCATGCATTAATCCACCCTGCCTTTTCGAATAGAAAATGTGTCCACATCTGGCAAAATGCAACAGATCTACTCCCTGTACATCTACCCAGACGTCTTAAGTAAACTTAAAAACGAGGCGGTTGCGCGGACAAGGCATTTGAAAATACGAACAGAGGAGTTGAAACACTTCTACATTGGCTATCGCCAGCTCTCAGCAAGTGAATTGAATTGCTACGACGAGAGAAATCCACCCCCCGTGCCATATCTCTTTAGGGGTCGGATTAACACGACTGCTTATGTGTCAGCCTCTATGCCTTCGTGTCTTCATATCACGCCCGGTGAGGATGCATGGCGTAGGAGTGGATGTAAGGTGGGCTTATTCTGCATGTAAATCGCCTAAAATTGCTCGCTTTCTTTTAAATATCTTGATTATGCTTAAGACTGGCAATTTTAAAGTGTCCAAACTGACCTATCTATTACTTTTATCCTCCACCACGTCTTCAAGATTAAAACAAAGTATAAGAGCACACCAATGATGCAACACATGAAATTTGGCTCAAAAACACTCCTTTGCAACTGTGCGACATTCAAGTCTTTTGTGGTAGTAAAAAGCACAAAGTGGTTGTAGTGCTCAATTTGCACCATCTTTCCACAATCGTCATTGTTTGTGACTGATGGTGTTCATCCTCGCTACGATATAAACAACCTCTTGCGCAACTTCGTCATACCATGGATCATGTGCCGACCAGGCCTGCAGAATCAGACTTTCTACGAGCTGGTAGAGTGTTCGCAGGAATGACCACTGAGGCTACGCATGATTACTCAACCGCAACCGAGTACCTAGTCCTCAAACATATTTAAATGTGTGACAGTCTGTGTATCCACGACGGTGATGGCTGAAATAGCCTCTTACTGATCCAGTGAGCATGCAATCACAGTACAAACTGTGCTTGAAGTCGCCTGTAAACACGGGCATTCCGGGATAGATTGCTAGGTCTTTGTTTGCGAGAAACTTTGTGCATTGGCACGGGGTATCTCATATACACGCATGCAGCACCATAGTTCCCCATCATCGTCCTTAAAGGTGTTAGAACAGAATTGAGCAACAACAAGTGTAACACAAGTGACCACAATCAGCTCCCAATACCGCACGTCATAGCAGTGTCACGTTAACATAGCTGATGAGTTTTATTTGAAATTGAGGCTTGGCTTTAAATTTAATACCAATTTATTCGGGAACTTGAATCGCGAAGTAATTTTTTCTGCCTTTCATGCAACAAAGGCGGTATCATCTCCCAACTCGGATGAGGTTCTTTGTGAGTGCACACATCTGACTACCTTCGCGGTGGGAATTTCCCCCATGTTTGAATCAGCTCAATTCAAGTACATTCTTCAAGGGGAACACTCGATGCGTATCTCCATTCCTGTATACGTGGTCATCGTTGCGATTGTATCATCAACCCTTCTGATGGTATTTGTGTCAAGGAAACACGAACGATGCCAAGTGAGGAAATTTGACATCAATTCAGGAGTTGACAATTGCTATGGTGGGTAGCATTTCTTAAATTTCAGACAAAGAAGCTGTGGAGAGGCCCTTTATTAGCTTCAATATCTGTCATTGTTTCTCGCCCTTTGTCCCCCTCTGCAATCAAATTTCTTCTCTTCATTCAAGTAGTTCTGTTAATTGCACCCATCGTCTCGATTCAAATTAGTAACTTATCATCAGCTTTTCCACTTAGGTGGGGGGAGGGCATTTTTGAAAGTTGAAGGAGGGGACAAGCTGTTTTGGAGACACACTCGCATTGGCATTGAGCTCCATTCCTAATTAACATGCTACATGCTCTTACTACTCTTGCTAACAGTGAATCTTCCATTTATGTTAGTGGTAGAAAATAGCTTGCAAGTAACGAACGATACAGTAACCTCTTATCATTCTCATTTGCTGATAAACCCCAATGAGTTTATAGCTAAAACAAATGCCCTAGAAAAATCTCATTGGTTAAGATATTATACCTGAGCTTGACTCACCACAACCCAAAAAGCAACTTAATTTTTACTTGGAATGAAGTATCACGACTGAATAGCGATGTATAGACATGTCTACCAATTACTCTCTTCCCACCTCTCCCTATCAGGAAGAACTATGTATTTCTATGTCAGGGAACACCGGTAGAAACATTCATAATACATTGACGGATGATACTTCCTCCCGTGACATTAGTGGTGCAGTCACCACAAATGCGAAGACAGATAGCTCAAGTGAGACGGATTGTCCCGTGAAATCCGTTCAGAGCCACAGCGATATAAACAGCTCTCCACTTACCGCAATAATAACATATTGATGACTGCGATGCAGCAAGATCCGAGAAGAGGACGTTGTCAACTGACTTTATCAGTTGCAATGGATCTGTTATGACTTGATTTTTAAAGCAACCGACAGTAATTAAGATGACATCTCTATACCGACCAAGAAACAACCTACATAATTCGATCTCTAATGTATTTAACAGGGATGATATGTTTTTCTGCATTTACTTCTGACTTGTTAGGTTAAATAACTTTGGTTACGAATGCTCTAGGAATGGTAGGCAATTGCCAGGTTAAAAATGATAGGTCCGTAGAGTTGATTCACCTTTTTCCCTAAAGTCATTGCTAAAAGGAAGTCCTCTATAACCATCGCCTTTGGAGCAGACAGAGCATAAGGTAATGCATTACTCTTTGGATGAGAGTGTGTATTTTCTGGACTACAAGAATTAAGATGATTGCAGTACTTGAACCACTGCGGAGGTGGCATTTGAACCTTCTAATGCAAAAACAAAACAATGCGATGCTGAACGTAATAAGAGGTGTGAATGAAAGCGTGTTTTTGTAAGAAGATGCAAGTGAGAAGGGAGAATGGAAAGGCTAGGGGAGGAATGTCCAATCACTTTCAGCTGCTGCCGCTGGTACGGACGCTACTAAAATTCTAATTGGAGAATGATGAGTAGGGGATGGTTGGGGGAAAAGGGAGTTTCCCTATTTGTTGGGTGTATGAGAGGCTTGGGGAAAGTAGAGTTGGAGTAGTAATGAAATATTTCTACCCATACACTGAAGAGAGTAATGGCTGTCGCACAAATAGGGAGGAGGGGTGGTGAAGTAAGCACATCAAAGCAGCAACAGAGGAGTGGCGGTGATACATAGGCTAAAAGAGAAAAGGAGATGTGTCAATGAATGCAAGGCAGGTGAGCAAATTGCTACCAGGCAGAGTCGGTCCGTGGGTTACCTGGATCCATTTACATCACACCACCTCATGAGTACTTTGTCTCTCAGACTTATCCGCTCATTCAATCGCTTTGGCCGCACTAATTAGCTATTTTGAGTAAGGACACCACCAACCACTGGGTTCCTCCTCAGGTGACTCCATATTTAGGAATCTCAGACATACCTACAGTAAGTTCTATAACAAATGAACAGAATCCTTCCCATTATTCGGATTGATCGAATCAGCCAAATTTCCACTTTGTGGTACGTTGGAAATAGTTAGAAAACCTATGTGCAACAAAAACAGAAAAGTGAACACTGAGAGCGGTGGAGACGACGCTCAAAGTAATACTTTTCTGACAGTCAACTCAAATACCCAATATCAAGTTTAATGGGATGACTGCAACTTGTAGCACTGAAAGCAAAACAAAAAAATGTAAGATAACTTGTTATTGCAATGATCCAGATTCGGTTAAGGCTTAAGAGCTTAGTTATGCTGAATTTCCGGGAAGAATTCAAATGCAAATCCTGTACTTTATTCAATGAAATGATATTTCAGCTGAACGAGGCTGCTAAGTGAAATAGTCGTAAATACTATACGTTCCTCATCCCCTACTTTAGCCATTATAACGTAGTCGGTGATTTAAAACACCTCCCCAATTAGCAGCACCGGTCATTGATTTCGGATGAAACAAAGAAAATATTTGGTTACCGACGCATCTTGCCAATAGTCACCGTATCCAGAGTTTGTCCCGTTTGGGAACTGTATGGGGTCAGGGTGGATTGTGCTGTCCTCATACTTCTGGCGTATGGATAATGGGCTACAACAACGCTATCAATGACCACCGGCCTTAAATTAAGGCCATGTGATGAAAGATAGGGCTAAATTAATGTCATGGGGATGGTATTTTGCGCCTGTTCCTTCTCGTCACTGGTCTAACTTCAATGCTGTCAAAGCATATATCTATCCGGGTTCCGTTGAGCTAGTAGAGAGGTGGAGAGGTATCGGGTGTTCACTTATTTTACAGCTCCATATACCTACTACGCACAATGATGCCACAAAGGTGTTGGATTAATTTTTTTCTACACTATATTTTGTTCAATTCATCTTTGTTCAAATCTGTTACATCTGCCACTAACAATGCTTAGCGAGGAGTCAAATGCCTAAGAAATTCGTTGGGTCATCTTTGTGAGAATGGTAAAACACGGAGTTGTAGTAGACACCTGTTCTTTGGTAAATTTATTCGTTCTCATCCGTGGTGATGTGCATGTACTGCTATGACGCTTATACAAAATGGCAAGGCTGTCCTCTATCCTCGTGAGTGATGAATATTTCATCCATGAACAAAACTGGACAATTTTGAAAGCGATACCTGCATGCGTAAATTTACACTAGTCCACACATCCCGTGAATGTCAGTAAGGCAAAATGCGGCGATACACAAAAACATCTCGCAGGTATCTTTCATTGCAGATTCTACTTGGAAGCTATGGGGAAGTATATAAGCGAAAGTATACCAAAAACCCATATTTTGCAATGCGGACATGTGATGAAGTGTCAGATCAGAAGATACCGTGACTACTGAAAAGCTCAACCACGTAGTCTCAATCGTTAGAAACCAATTCTTATTTCTGATTCGACTGAAAGGCATAAAACCACGTAAATTTTGCATGTGATTAGGCTTGACCGTTAGTTGAAATGGGATACATAGTCACACTTCCTCTCGTTTTGTAGTGACTCTGGCGTTACCAGTACCAGCGCTTTTAGCTCAGTCATCAAGGCGCGGAAGTTTATTTAGAAGGGGAATAAGTAAAGTCACAACCCATATGGCCCTTAGAATCTACTTCAATAACTATCGAGCAGTTGACCATACCAGTGTCACTAAATTAGAAACCTGGATAATGCTTGCGAATGCCAAAACTGTCAGTTTAGTTTCTGTTACTTAGCCACACTTTGTTAAGGGTAGACAGATCTTCTTGAGTAAAGTGGGTGAAGAGGAAACTTCTCTAGTCGGGTGAACCAGAATTCCATTTAAAGTAGACCACTATTTGGTGATGGCTTATACGTTGAGAGATAAACTTGTCTATGTCATCTAGCTGAAATGTGACTAAAGGAAATTATGCATTCTGACCAACTTGAGCGTAAATGTCGGTTAAACTAAGAGCTTTAAATGCTTGCTTTGATTGACTTTGAGAGGACAACAGGAAATTATCAGCAAACAATGCCCATCCACATTCGTAGACTTAACTATGCTGTTCGCATTATCGCTTTGGCACCCCTCTTTCTCAGGGAATTTTAGCTGAAAATAATTGGACTTCACTATCTTTTTAGACATTTACTGACGTAAAACACTCCAAAACAAGCAAATTTGCCTACTTACGCTTTGCCATAACGAGCACTTTTGGGCACAATGCCCACTAACTGGAACGGTTTCAAGTTCTTTTCAGGTGAGAGCCCTTGTTCGCAGCACTTTTTGTTCTAATAACAGCGCTTTTGTGCGCGCCTCACTCTACCATGAACGCTGCAATTTCATCTTCACCTCGCCTGCGGATTTCAAACAGCTTGCTTAGCAGAGAGAACATAGGCGAATATTCAGGGAAGTAGCATCCTTGATCCTCTCGTAATCAGCCGCAAATGCTGTCTGCCACCGCATTCAACACGAAACTCTGTGCTTTAATATACCTGTAAAATATGGGGGCATTCATGATCACTCGCACCGGAGTTTACACCATAGCTCAATAAATGATCATTCAGGACTTACTACTCATCGAATACTAACTTGCTGATATGAGAAATGACTTTAAGAGATGAGTTTATGCTACTCACTATCCTGCGAAGCAAGATCAGGGCATTCGGTTTAAAGTGTTCATCCATAGATTTTAATTTGTATGGCGATTTACGAGTAGACGGTGTAGCCTTTATTTACATATTTTTGTGTTTATCGCCCTTGATTCGTTTCTGTCCTTTCACCTTGAACACTAGTGAGATATTTTGTGGTGGAAGCACCATATGATGCCTACTTAAATTGACTGACCCTATTTTTTTAGCAATAAATGACAAGGACTATTCAATCAAGCATTTTAAGTTAGCGTAAAAAGTGGATGCCAATGCGCGAATTGGAAAGCCCACGCAGGTAGCTGTAGTTTATTCTGCGGAAACGCCCTTTTAAACTAAAAGGTTTTACAAACTTTGAAAGGAGGAGACGGTTGTCGCTACTGCAGAAAAAGCTAAAGCAGGCCCAGTCATTACGAAGATGAGAGTTGGGGCAACGAGAATACCTCTCAATGTCGTAAAGTGGCTAGTCTCGTAGGTAGTCGAAATAAAAGAAACATTTAATTACCGAAATGAGCATGCTAGTACCATAATTCGTGTTCTTCGGTAAAAACTTGCAAATAACCATTTTCATTTGTAAAAAACTACCAAAGTTTCACATTAACCGATGTAATTTGTGTCCATGTGCTTGAAATCTTTTAGTCGCAAGCTGACCGATCGGTCCAAAATCGTGAATGTGATAACGTTATTAATCTTACAGAGCTAGCCCTTCACGATCTTTTTATGAAACTATTTGAATTAAACCCCTTATTAAGCATCAGAATGTGGTATCTTCCACAGGTCCTTCGTGATGCATGGGTATGAAATTGAAGGGAGGTCAGGGCATTAAAAGTGTTGTTTTACTCATATTACCATATTTTTCTTCAATATTGTGCAGATTAAACCCTGCCAAACTGAATCAACGGGAATAGTGCTCTTCATGAATCCCCATTTAGCCGGATCACGAATGTTAACATTAAAGAATTTTCAAACTTCAAGCACCACCAGTTGCGCAAAGTCGAATCTATTATGATATTGCAATGTCTTTCTTAAGCAATTGTTCAAGTGCCAAAAGATTATTTCGTTAAATGTTAGTTTGCTGGTTGCAGAATTAAGTATTTATTAACACGCAAGGTCGAAGATGGCTAGAGCGCGTTCAACTTTCGTGTGTCGTTCGTTAGTGTATGTCTGTCCGTGACTGCCATAGGTGAGTTTATGTTATTAATAATAGTGATTGCTTCCTCTGTCCATAATATGCCCCAGTGCAGTTCATTTTCACCAAATTTTGGACACCAAAGATCAGTTCTGGCACATGTATTCTGAACTGAATGCTGTAGTTTGGACTTAGAAGTATTGCACTTGATTCTACAAGTAATTCAGTGTGGAGTGCATACTTCCATTTACGTACTTGATTTAGCATAGTAAGTGGGTGGTTCTTTCTCTTATGGCAATCTCACTGTATTTCCAGGCATTTTGGTGTGTAATTGGGCACCTTGTCTGCTATAATGTAACCTTGTGATTTAGTCCGTGTACAATTCGGTTGTCCCTGCAGTTCCGAAAGTTTATTGTTTTTTCCGTAAATAAAGTACATCTGTGATGATGTGAAAGCTCCTGTTCATAAGTAAAGAGACAACGACTTGCTATTATTAGTCGCATGTACGGCTGTTTTATACATGAAGACCCTGGTGTGCGTTATTTGGTCGTTCTAGCACCCCTTGACTCCCTCTTTACTTTTAGCTCTGCCACTTTGGTTCACGCTATCTGTGGTTTTCTTTTAATCGCCGCTGGGTGTGCTCAGAACATTGTGGCTATGACAAGGTACCCATATATCGCCAGGTCTGGTAGGGGCAACTCGTTTTCTTGATAGAACTTACATGCTAATAAACTGAAGATTTTCGATTGTCATTATTAAGCCTTAAGTGTGATCATGCAATTTCTGGTTATCTTGAGCTAGACATTGATCCGAACCAGGTAGTTAAACTAATCTCTTCTCACAGTCTTAATCTGCAGATTTTACAGCACATAAACGATTGTAGCTCCCCAAGTCATTCCTGAAGGCGAAAGAAGCCATAGTGCTTAAAGAGAAAATGTTTTGCTGGCGTGTGGTAGGGCTGAGAGGCTACTGGCTTGGCCTGGAGTCACTTGATTGTGCAAATTTTTCATATTTTAGCAACCTTAATGATATCCGTGACATATTTGCAAGCCGTATCCAACCGTCGCTTTAATAAATGAGTTTGGGTGTGTCAACAATGAACAAACAGTAAAAAGGACTAAAATTTAATTTCTTTAACAATGTTTTAACGACTTGTGAGTGCTTGTAATGCTTAAATAATCCATTCGCATGGAATTTTTCTGTCCGCTGTCGTTGTTATCGACATGAAGCAGGATTCTGTTACGAGTGGATTATTTATAGGTGTTTTGCAGGCTGTCATTTGTTGAGGATCGTCGCTACCCTATGGTGTTACGCGACTTTAGGTGGCCGAAAAATGTGCTTTGAATTCCTCGGTTCCCACCAGTCATCATTATTATATTTGGGTGATTGCCCATTTCAGGAAGTTGTATATTCTGCACTTGTCAGATAAATGGCAATGGCTTTAGTTTGGGGAGCAAAAAATATAACCTATAGGTCTGGTTTATGCAAATGAGTACTCATAAGTACATAATTTATCCGTGAGTTCCGTCATAGCCTTCCAGGTTTGATTTGAGATCGGGAGCCGGAGTGTGTGAACAGATGATAGGGCGGGTGGATATGGGAGGGAGTGAACTACGGCTGACACCATCTTTAATTCAGAAGGAGCGCTTGCCAAGGGTTATTTCCGTTTACATTGAGCGCGTAATGAATAATTTTTTCCTTAATGGATAACGCCATGGCTACGGATGAAAAGCGTCTCTGTTTGTAGATTTTCTCTCCGTGTGCTTCCGTTTAAAGTTTGCCAACCTTCTAACGAAACCTGCCGAAATAAATTCTTGAAATGCATGCTTGAATACTGCTTTTTGCTTCTTTATCTAGCCAAGTATCACTAGATTCAGAGTTAACTTCTGCTAGTTTGAGCATTTGTTGAAACTGGGTGGATTCTAACGAAGTTGTTGGAATATGAAAATCAGTTCAGCAGAATATACAACATTGTATAGATTTGGAATCGTGTTGGACATGAGTAGCGTAATAACATTTAGGACTAGTGCAAATCATAAGTAAGATTACGGGCAAGGTAAACATTGTTATTTATTTCGCGCCTCTTGAATCTATGCAGGTTTTCTATTAAAAACACCATTATATCCACTTGGCGTTGAATCAAAAGTTGTTTGGTGCATCGAAATCAAGTATCTACGGGGATGTTAGAGCCACGCCAATGACACGTCATGACGAAGACTTGGTGAGGTGTGTGAGATGCTCTCCCAGAGAGAAGGACTGAGCACTCATAACTGAGTCGTGTTTGTGTTGGCCCACTTTGAACAAGTCATTAAGCATCGTTAATTGCGTTCAAACGAATTTATAACATTCATCGTGCCCAAAGATGAAAATGAGTATTCGATGCGCTACCGCGGCTGAACTGACTTCAGAAGCAGTCTCATTGACATCAGTTACAATTTATCCCACATCATCTTATTCGTTATTACTGTGATGTTAATTGAGGACTTTATGGAGCGACGCACTTAGATTAGAGGGCTGGTTTTTTAAGCAAACTTGTAAGCACTTTGCACTTTGTGATTTATGGGACTAATAGGGCAAACTGGACGTGCATCAGGGAATAAAAAGGAGATAGGGACGTAGAAAAAAGACATCGGGGATGGAAGTTGGTTCAGTTCATTTGGTCTGAATTGGTCCTATCTCCATTGAGTCACTTCCGTTTAAGTAATGAAGTGGTTTCAGTCTAAGGCTATTGATGCAGATGAAGCGGATTTCGTTGACTTGGCTGGGTCTAAGAATCCGCTCTTATCAGTTATATAGTCATTTCTCTTTGGGGAATAACGGCGATGTTTAAATCTTGGAATTCTTTGAACATGTTTTACGATTTGAATTAGTGGACATCTGAGAGGTCCAAGTGAAGCATTAGTACGAAATGGCAAACGCCGCAATCTTTTTCATCGAATAATCAATTTTTCAGGGAAATATTAGAATTGCTTTTCATTTATGCTTTAAGTACATGGGAGTGCACATTAATCCAGTAAGTAAATTGGATAAAATATATGTAGTAATGAAAAGTAGAAGTATGAAACTGTTGTAATAAATTGGGCCAATATGAAACTGCCAATGTTATGCCACTTGAAGATATTTGGAGTAAATCATTTGCAATGATGTCTACTTGTCCGCTGCTTATTGTGTTCCATACCTACAACTGGAAGTGTATTGCTAAGTAAGCGCGAATCGACCCGCAACTGGAAGCCAGTTAAATTCTAGGCATGTTACCGCTTTGGCCCACAGAACCCACAAATTACTCACGTTTCTGCAGTTAGTGTAAGGATTCTCGTGGATTCTGCTCCTTGAAACAGTAGTACATCCCAGAAGTTTTAAAAAATTGTTTTACAGGGCAACGTTTCGGTCACTTGAATACTACATGGGTGGTAAATATAGGCCATCATTTTATGGAAAAGCGACAGATTGATCAGCAACAACCAGCTTAAATATGGTTCGCCATCACATCAAGTGGTTGTCTAGTACCAGTAAAAAAAGGCAAATGTATCGATGCCATTGTTGCTGCAAGTTTACATTCTGTATGGATGATTATGAGTTTTCATGTTTGGTTATTGCATTCTTTATGATTAACAAGGGAGAAGCAGGCGGACCTCGTTATTAGGGGATTTTCAAACTGGACGATACGGAAAGAACCGCTCAATTTGTGCTAGCAGCTCTCGATAATGGTAGGTTCTAGTAGCCTCCAATTGTTTCTCCTTGTTTTGTTTTTTCAGCATTTCTCGTTGTTAACTCGTTTATTTTTCTCCATCACCTTTCGTTCATTTAATTTACATTTCACGTAGGATCACACATTCTTTACAATTTAGGCAGAAAATAGCCCACAACGTAAGATCACCGATCTTTTACCTGAGTTGGCATTAAGAATATGCGAATTCCTTGATGCCCCAGATTTGGTGAGCCTCTGCATGAGCATTCCAAGTTGGAGGTGGATCCTTTCAACTTGGCCATTCTCCAATCATATCTGTCAACATATCAATAAATATACCTGGTTGGACAAGCGTCTCTGCCAGCTACTCTTCCCGCAACCCTCACCTACTTCTTTTCGAAACGCTCCTGAAGCCATTCGATATCAGAAGGAGCAAGTGGACACGTATCAACGTTTTGCATCCACGCCTGCTCAAGGCAAAGCCCCCAGAACTGCACATTTTCGTATTTTGCCAGATTTTGATGTGAATATTATGTCGGAGGATGAATTTACACTACGAATGGAAGCATTGCGGGATCCGTTTACCAATTACATTACAATGGTCAAGTATCGACGGCGCATGCGGATTGTTGGTATGCATGGATGTATCTTTACTAGTTGTTCCACAAAAGGAGGTACGAGTTATGTTTTAAGAGAGATCATATTTGTAGGCGAACGAGATGGACATAACTGCTGCGATTGCATAATCTATTTGGTGGATCCTTTGCGCTTCCTCAGGGATGATCTAACAGCCACCTTAGAATCTCTTGCGCCCCATAAAGTGTTAATTATTGCAGTCATTATCAATACGAGGAGAGATATGTCAAATGAGATGGATTGCCTTGCTGAATTCCTGCAGAGCTTTGGTGACTTCAACAGCTCTCCGCTGGCCTCTGTACCAGCGAATTGGCGACTGTGGTGCATTAAGCGTCATCAAGGGAACTTTGTCAACTGGTCTAATTTGTTGGAGTGGGGTTTTTACGATGTAATATGCAAAAAAATTCAGAGTGAGTGGGATGGCAATGCTATATCGTCCATTAGATAACGCACGTAATTGGATATTTTGTATACTTAACAGTGGTGCTGTGTTTGTCTTTATTTTTTATTTGCTTGGTTGGTTGGTCGTGGTAAAAGGGAGGACCTCTGCACTACAACCATTGCTTCCAGAACAGACGGAGATGCTAACGTATCATCCTTTGGACAAAATTCCTATTCTCTGGACTTTAGAATTTACGTAGTATTTAAGTGTTCTACTCTGGAAGTGAAAATAATCGTGAATCTCCACGGGAGGTGAGAAGGATTTGAATGTTGTTGAATTGCTTAGTTGACTTGATACGGGAAAGTATGAATACAAGGTAGCCCACACAACTATAACTAAGAACGGGCGATGGGTGTTTATGATGCAAAATCTGACTGAGAAGTGGAATTTGGACCTTAAATTCTTCTTGGTTAATTTTAGCATTTGAGAACAGGAACTGAAGTAGGAGATGCTGTCATTACAAATTCTTCACATCCTCTTGTGAAGACAAACTTATAAATCGTAGTTGCAATCGGAATTCAAAGAGCCTAATCGGGAAGCTATCTTGGAGTAGGGGTCGATCGCTTTTGACACTTATTCAGATCACGTCCATTGTACATTGATGATCCGAAGACCACCAGATGAGGATAGTGCCCGATTCACAGTATAGCGGTTTGAAGATGAGAGTAGAATGTCTTCACCACGTACCATTCGAAAATGTGAACTAGGGTAGGCATTAGGAATCCCAGTCCTCGATTGTCTATAGTGCTGAAGGGAAATGAGTGATCCTCTTACCCCATGGATATGTCAGCTCCGCTTCAATTGCAAAGAAACCACTTTTCCTTATTCGCCTCTATTTTGCATTGTTAGCACCAGCAAGACTACAAATCAGGGAGTCGAAATAAAAGCCAAAGGAAGGCTCGTCATGCTTGCCCGAACGCAGCAATTCACTATGTGGAAAAAAGTGGTACCCTTCTTCTCCACTTTGTTGTTAAGGCAAGATTATTTTTGAAGCAATTGGTTTAGGGATTACGCTTGCTGCATAAAGCTGTCCAACCTTGAACAGAACTTTTGTTGTCTTTCTGATGAGGCTGACCTAAGACAAAGAGAAGTTGCTGAGGCGTGATAAACATCTGGTTTATGCACATAAGCACATGCTACAATGAGGCCAGCTGTGTCTGAGATATTGCTAACTTTCAAATCGCCACCAAGGAGGGTTGTTCCTTTGATTACCAGGGTTCATTCGCGCAACACCACCTTGTGTTTTTGTCGCTCATCCTTGTCTGGTTATTCAATAGTCTCAGTGGCAATGATTAGCTTTCCTGAGTGGGGATACTTCCAACGCAAATGTGTATCCGTGGTACAGGTGGTCGGACCAACGGTCCGTGTCACTTGGTTTTTTTGCAAAATATGTAATAAAAATTTTCCAGCTGAACTTTTCAGGAGGCTCTTATGTTTGTCATCACAGCTATAACTGAAAGTAAGTACTACTACCTGTACGAGCATAAATCCGTAAATAATTTTCGCAAATGCTTCTTTGTAAAGGCTTTAAATTTCCATTTCCATTAGAATAATAATATCCGTACCTCTGAACTATGCAAGAGAAAAAATTCAGTAATGGCTTACCTGCCCGGAAATTGCATCGGCGACATTAAAGAGGCACTTTGTCCCTTTTCCTGATGTGACAATTTAGAAAATCGTTTGATTTGATGTCTTGTGGATTGGTTTAAGTAATTAATGAAGACCGGGTTTAAGGCAGCCCAAATTTTATTCAATAAACCGGTGGATATGACGGCATCTTACAGTAAGCCAGGCCATCATATCTTACAGACAGCTCCAGTCTTTGCATTTCACACTCCATGTATGGCACTGGGTGACATCCATTGATCAGAGGAGCTGTGGTATTTTAAATAATGTAGGTATGCTAGAGTTAAGGCACAATGAATTAACTTCTATAACCACCTACGCTGAACAAAGTAACTTGAGAAGCCATAACTCCTTGGAGGACATAAAATGTAATGCACTGCTAAATATATCAGTTTTAATAAAATAATTTCAAGCCTCTGTGGGATTCCCCTAACTGCTGCAACCAAGCGAAATTGCCTTTACAGAAAAATGCCAATCATGCCGACAAGAATTTGTTGGAGCCCACGCAGCGAAGACGGAATAATAGACCAACAGTATTGCATATAAAATACATTTTGGATCACCGAGGGGGAGGTGTGTGCGTGTGCCAACTCAGCCGAGTAATTTAGATTGCTGATAGCTGCATTAATTTGGTTCCACTCATCCATGCGTTTAGAGGGTGCCTTAATAAATCCTGTTGAATTGTACCACTGGGTAGATCAACAAGTGGATAAATGAGTCTGAATGGATGGTAGGCGTCAGTTAAAATGCAGCATCAGTATTTTTCCAAAATATGGACAGACAACAGGCATTTTTGGGCATCTTCCAGAAGAGGTGGGATGAGGAATAGCCTCTCCGAAAAATCTACGTATTGTCAGAAAGTGGCCATTAATAAACTACAGACTGGACAAGATTCTGCCATTTCCATTACCATTTTTGTAGAAGAAACAATAAGTACGCAACTACGCATGGACAACGAGATTTTTTCAAGGTTTTTAGTCAAAACACAAAAACAATGCCCCGAAAACGCGCATGATTAATACTTACAGCAGTCTTGTCATCATTTGTAAGAGATAATTTTGCAGGTTCGATTTACCATCACAACTTAATGCTGTCCATTTTACACCATCGGCCAGTCCCACTAAGCCTATAGAATTGATGCACCTTGTCTCCATGATGTTGAATGCCGAAAAAGTAGACGTCAAGGCCATTTGAAGTGGAATTTTTAAATTTCACTTCACGCCAGTAAAGCGTCGATAGATGACATGAGACAGCTGATAAGTCTAACGTGCAAACTTCCGCGCATTAACAACTTGGCTGGTATTAACGGAACTGAGCCAATCGCGCTCTTTAATGTAGCCTTGCCACACATAAATCGCAATGCAATCTATTTTGCCCTCGTTTGCTAATGCATATCCTAACTCCACCGCCTTGTCTGCCATGGTCAGTGTTTGACTTAACTTCAGAGTGCTTGAATCAGGTTTCCAAGCCATCAAGCACAGTGAGCTGCTACTGGTTCAATGAATCTATCGCCTTCTCCCTCTCGGTAAGCTGTTGACGGCTAAGCAATCAAGGTCAGTGGTAGATTTGAATACACTGAGCCACGGCCCAACGCATTTAATGACATGGCAAGTGGAATAGGCTCACTCATTGTCACCCACACTTAGGTGCAATTCAATCGTATTGCAAAGGCCATTGGTTAGTTTCAAAATTGATTCGCTAATCTGTATTCAAGCAGCCTCAAACTTGCAACAGGTCATAAACTGATCCAAAGAAATTAATTTCTGCTGGTTGCTTTCACGCTATAGTTGGTATGATATGATTAAAAACCTGTAATTTAATGGACAAACTAGATGAAGTTATAAATGACTCAAGATAGTGTGGAATGGAAGAAGACTGTAAATAATTGGTGAAATAATTGGAATGAGATAACGACAAAGTGGATTCGGCGGAAGTGAAGGCCAGGCATGTCAAGGAGTTCGCGCTGCGTTTAATATACTTCTTGCAAAAATGCAGAGCTTCGATAGTTTGCCTAAATCTGCGTTAGATTGGGTGGACAATTAAGCCTTCGCAGATTGCACCCCTACTCTGCAGTATGGCCTCCTGGCCGTGCCATTAACCTCCCAACCCTTCTATAGATTGGCATTACATTTTTTACCACATTAATATAACTTCTTGTGAATTTAATGCGCACTTTGAGTGTGGCATATGTACTTCTCCTTATTAATTTTGAAAGAAATAGCAGGCATTGAATTCGTTTGCAAGATAACTTAAAAGCCACAGCTCTTACAAAGACAGCTAAGGGTAAGCGGATGAGGTAAAATACCTTAAGCGAGAGCTGATGAATAAAGCAGAAGTATTTCAGATATTTGCGGTCATCATTCACTTAAGCAAAGATAAAACAGTGCAAGTTATTCGTTTAGTCAATTCTTCTTCGCATTGAGTATTAAAGCATTCTTTTTAATGTAAATCATTTTTGTCATTTTCAACCTACAAATTGATACTTGGGAATAAGGAGATTCCCACTGAAGACAGATAATTGGCGTGGAAAATATAAAATAGCTGCGGAATGTCTGTAATTTGAAGATTGCTTAATTAAAATCCCCATTTTATAGAATCGTTATCCTTGAGAGCGATTTAAAAGTGACGCCGATTAATGGGAGACCAATGCAAAAATTACCTTTACTTTTGTTTAACAGTGATTGGGTAGAAATCTACTAGACTTAATCAAAATCCCCATCCTCGTCGATCCGCGAACCCTGATTTTCATATCATTTCTCACTTAGCAGTTTCTCATGTTAACCTGCTTAAAAACGCAAATACATACCTATTTATCTTCATATGTTACTTCAACATTAGCGGAGGTAATGGTCAGTGATGAGTTGCTCATAGTCGAATAGATCTGTTTGTTTTTTATTGGTGAACAACTTCTGCATGTAGTTAAAATTTTCAAATGTTTTGGCTTAATTTATGTTCCATCTGTCACATTGCAAGGTTAACGTCAATAATTTGTGTCACGCTGAACTGCGGCCAGTTTAGGACATTTTACCTTTGGCTCATTCTAAGCTTAAAACTATTGAGCTGGTTGATTATACCTTGCAAGCAGTTCATTTATTATTATTTGGGTGTTTGCATGTAGAAAATGAGTACGTAACTTTTATCACACTGTATAAGTGCGTATGCACAGTAGTCGGTTGCCTACACAATTACACCATTCGATAAGCGATGCCAGCATAATCAGAGATGCTAATTCTGCTGAGGAGAAGGCGGTTTTACCAAGGTAAGCGTTATTAATGTGCCTTTAGATCATATAAATCGGACACTAACGAAAGGTAAGAGCGTACTTATTATCTTAATATAGGGCCAATGGGCGACTTATGAAAGGTCTAATGAACAATTTGTCACTTTGTACTTTTGTGGAAAAAGCCATGTTTTGTCATTTCAGTTATGTGTGAAATCAAAATACTGAGGTCAAACAAATCTTTTTGTGTCTTTAAGAAAAGGATTTGAGAGCAATCTTAAAGCTAAGTTTAATTCAACTTGGATGAACGTGGGATTGATGGGTGGGTGCGTTTGTGGAGCAGTGTGAAGTTAGGACCTAGGATCGGCCAAAATATAGCGTCAACAGAATAAAATAGAGCACTTCTGTTGGAACGAAACCATCGAGTCTGCCTTGAGAATGACTGAAAAATTGTTTGGTGTATTGGAAATGAGCATCAGTAAGAGTGTTGAAACCACACCAATGGCGCATCATGTTGAAGAATGCGTCTGTTTATAACCAGAGTAGGAATAGGTAAATCACCTCAACAAACTATGTAAACCACAAGCAAAAAATTAAAATGCTAAAATAAATGCCTTCTATTTTCGCCTTTTCATATTGCTCACGAGGAAATATCCTGCTCCACACCTGGCGTCTTGGTAACTTATAGTTAACCTGTTTCAGTAAAATTGGCAGGTTGATAACTTTTGCAAGCAAGCAATTTTGTGGACAAATAGATAGCCAAAATCACCGATAATTTTGTATCCAGACACTGTGACATCTGATAGGGCATCATCTTGGCCAATACAGTGGTTTAAGTCCAACCCGTTTCCTCAACGTTAAATCATACTGCTGGGAATTTCATTTCATTTTGCACCACCTCAGGCAACAAAGACCTGTGAGAAAGTGAGTAGCCGAAACATCATATCAAATGCAGACCAGACTTTTTTATTAAAAATGTTGACTTACTAAAGTTGCACGACCCAATCATGGCATTGCAATGTCTGCAAGTCTTTTAAATGTTGTAGGGGTCTTTTGTGACCATTACATGTTCATTTGGAATCCACATAGAAATTGTGCCAAGGCCCCCTCATGTTGAGGTATCAAATTTCCGGGACTTTGAATGACTTGTAGATCCTTATTTTAGGAGGTGGTTGAGTGTCAAGGGATAAGTGTTTAAAAGAGACTCATTTGATAATACCTGCCATGGGAAAGGTGGTTGTACATGCATTCCGCAAATTAAGGTCATCAAAAAAACGTCAATTTGTTAGAGTAGGAAATTCTACGTCACTTTAATGCTACTTCCTATTCATTGCCTCGAAGCAAAATTCTATCTGATATACAGAACTGGTCTGGTGCTGTTAAGTAGAACAGTCCCATTACACCTAAAATGATGGATTAAAGGAGTTTTTTATTAGGTGTATATTCAATCCAGAAAAAGTCATTAAATGACAACTTTGACCTCATTCCGATCTACTAGCACAACCAATATAAAAACTTCATGAAGTAGACACCGACATTAAAGGCACCCTACCTCAGCCTTTGCACAAATTTATTAAGTATTATCATGAGATAACAGACTTTATTCACTGTACCACTTTAGGCTGCCTTCAAGACGGCTATGCTCTCGTCTCGATATGGCGTCTAATGCTCAAAAGGCCAGGCAAGCATGGTGATAGGATAATCTCAAAGGTAGCTGCAAAAATATTCAATAGGTTATTTATTTAGCTAAGTCGAATAGCTAGCATCCTTGTTCGAGGCACTTGAGGACTACTGATTTGAATGTATCCAAATCCAGTCTATGGTACTGCTGGAAACGCTAGCCGAATTAGTGTTATCCGCAAACCATTGCATTCTGGGAACGAATTCTGGTGTTTTTTAAACTCATCAATAAATTTATTTACAAAAAGTTAATATAGCAAAACACTTCCTTAAAGCATATCATTTCGGTGTGAGATCGGAGTACGCCCCCCATCTGCCATTGCAATCTAAGTAGATGTAACTTCTCCTACAGAACTTCTCATGATCAACCGCAATGTACATTCAAAGAAGGGGGGAGTTAAGTTAATCTATCAAAATTGCTTAAATTGTTTGCTAAAGAAATAAGTCACTTACGTGAATACGACTGTTTAATTTTCTTCTTGCAATGTCTGAAATAAATGGGGGAGGAACAAATTACACACCACTTTTCTAATCATATTGAACAAAATATAGCCAAATATCAGCTATGTGGCGGACTAAAAGGGTTAACAGGATAAAATGAGATAAATGGGCATACCCATAAACACACGCACACACAGTGAAAGATGATGATTAAGGAAAATAGCATTCCTGCCCATTTCTATGCGAAATTAGGTATGCAGACTGCGTAGAAAGACAAAATATGGGCCTAGATACTTAAGCAGTTAAATAGTCCTCTCGACCTTGCAATAAAGTGGTGCGCTTATTGAAGCGGGGCCAAAGACTTCTTCCCTTTGAGTGAGTAGGCTGGTTCCAGGTAAACATTTTGGTCTCAAACATCTGCGAAACAGAACAAGGATGCTTACCAGTGCGGGTTCTCTTCCTGGTCAGGTCTTGGCGACAGGTAGGGGGGCAATCGGCCTAAACGCTGGAGCCTGAAAGCGGCTATGCGTTGTGATTCACAGAATACACAGCCCAGCTTAGCGTGCTCTTCCTTAAATGCGCGACTCTACCCCTATGCAAATCGTGTCGTTCACCGAGAAATTGGTGGTAGTGATTCAATCTCCACAGCGGATGTGAAGAATAGTAGCCGTTCTACAGAAAGGGAAGAAGGAGCTAATGAAATAGGGGAAAATGTTAAAAGAGGATATGCGTGCAGTGTTCGGATGTATTTTTGAAACATGAGGCAATAAGGTGGAATAAATTTGGGCTTCTAATTATCGTGCCTGATGGGCTATTCTCCTGATGTGTCTTGTTAATAAAGATATCATTTGAGACTATGATTGAGATGACGCAAGGGAGAGGAGATTCTATTAAAGGCGAACTGAAAGGTGAAAAGAATGTGAAGCAGAAGGCGATCCCAATCAGTTGACTTCATCTGTGCTTAAGTACTTCCCAGTTGCCGTATTATGTAGTTCGGCTTTTGAAGCACCTCTATTCCCTCCGTTTTAAGCTCAGAAATGGCTTGTCTTTGTGCTCCTCTCCGACTGGCCATAGTGCATCAGAGTCCATAACGTAGTTTGACATTAGCTTGAGTGCATATTTTTAGCTAAACTGGGTATTCACTAGGCGTTTATAGTCTTGATTTTTCTGGACCCAGCCACGGTGTTCAGACTGGAGCATTCCAATCCCTCTATGGATCAAAGGGAAATCTCTTCGTTTTGGTATACTTTACGACGTTTGCGGAAACGACTCAGTGAAGTACACTGATATAAAAAGGCAAGTAAAAAGAAGACTTCCTCCATTCTTTCGGTTGATTATCTAACCTTGATGTTACAGAAGAATCGCATCTACTGCGGACTGCTGAGGCCTAGGACCATGAAGGCAGCGTGCTCTTGTGCAAATATCTCCAATGTGGCGTGCTGCAAGAAGTCAGTTGATGATTGATGGGACGTGCAACTTCAGTTATTGTACCACTGCGATATCTTTTCAAAAATCCTTTTACTTCACGACTAAGCGCTACCTAATCCAAGGTCCTGGTAACAGCCTAATTGTTAAACAGCATCAAAGTATGAGCACAATAGAACGAGGGAACAGAGAGGAAATTCCGCGACCACCCTTGTAGAGGGATGCTCCTACAAGCAGTAATTTGTAGATGAGATGAAGTTGGTGAAGTGGATACCCGTCTACAACTTCTGTTCACAGAGGAGATTAAATGTCTTCTGGCCTTCATGAAAACGTGGTCATACTGACATTTGCTTGAGAATGGTTTCTAAACTCCTACCAGGTTTTGATGCCCGAAGGAGTCAGGAGGAGGGCGGATGGGAACAGAGTAATTCTGTGCCGCATTTGGATGCTTATTTAACTGCACTTATAAGCAAACAGGCTCACTCATCAAACTTCGCTACTTGCACAGCCAGTTCAATTGCCAAACCTTTCGCTTACAAGTAGTTCATATCTTGCTATACTGATATGGACTTCATTAAAATTTTACCTCACATGTTGCATATAATTGCAAATTTAGTATTGCGCCTTATCGCCGCTTTAGAGAATAAGAATTAAGAGTGGAGAATGGGAAAGTGGCAGAAGAAATTTTGTTAGCGTATATATGAACACCAGAACTATCATCAGAATGAACGAAACAATTTTCGCTGAGGTATAACTTTTTTTCTAAAACTACTGAAGGCAAATCCTTGAAATGAAGACAAATTTCTGTGGATCAAGGATTAGTCGAATTTACAACAAAAATAAGAAGACTAACTGATTGAACTCGATAGTAAATTCACCCACTATCGCTTCCTCCATGTCCGTAAGTCATGGCTTATTGTAGGAGGCATGATTTGGAAAGAGAGAGTGAAGCAAAATGCAGGCCTGTGCAAGCCGATTGTAGGCAAAACTCAAATCTTAGCTGGGTGGAGATTAAAAGTAAAAATTCAGCAGACATTATTGTGCGATAAATAAGCGAAGTGATTTCTTAATTGTAAGGTCTTCAGTGATATTGCACAAGAGGTTGAGAGTTGAAATTCACAAAGTCAATAAGTGAAATGAGAAATCATAAAGTGGGTTTGGAGAATACGCTATTAGAGGGTGTTTAATTGGTTGTCAGTGTGGCCTACTAAACATTCAGTGACGTTTCAGTAGGTCGAAGAAGTGCCAATAGTGCAAGGCAAGACTGAAAGGTGACTAGCCAGACCCGACAATCCACCTTATCACTTCTCTCGTCGAGACCACATGTAAAGTACGTTAATGCCCATGTTGGACACGGCAATCCACATGAAATTGAGTGTTTAAAACATAACTTTAGTGGTGGCCTCCACCGACGTCAAACCCCCCAGACAGGTACTTGAATATTCGCATTTACGTTTTATATTGGTTGGAAATTGTGACTTGTCTTTCATATTGTACCCGACTACTATTAGCCCGTTATTTATCGAACAAGCAACGATATCTCCAGACAAGCTCAGCGTTAATTGATGCACCTGTCTACAGTCTGCATTGAATTCTACCTCAAACAGGCAGAAAAACGAGGGGGAAAGTGGTCGTATTTCATTCTTTTTATATACGGAGTAACTAGCAACAACAAAGTTTATTCAAATGGTCATCTGGCAAATAAAGCCATTTTAGAAGTTCGACCCATTTTTACAGTCATTAAAATTGATTTCAAGTGAAATAGATAAAAGATGAAAGGGCTTTACTCGGAAAGAAAAAGTAGTGCGCTTGCTGAAGAAAGATCAAAATAAAAGTGAGCCATTTCTGCACCTAGCTTTCCTCTCCGCTTACCGTTGCTTTGCATTCTTACAGGAGTCCTGAACAGATGAGGCATCTGAGCAACTGGACTTGCTGATTAATACCAAAGTGACTTCCTCCTTCTCCTCCTCCCATTCGTCTTCACACCGACTAGTGGTCCGCCTCCACGGCTCTTACGCAGCATCAGCACCAGTACAAGCCAATCATGAATGTTCAGAAAGTAGCGTTTCAGTTCCGTGGCACAGCCTGGTGAGAAATGTCCAACACCACACCTATAGTGATCCTACTCCCCTGTCAAATGATTAGGAATGGTTATTAGATAGATAGATAGAAAAAGGATTGATCCACCACCCACCACCCATTTTGTGTTATCGCTCATCCACTTACATGAGTGTCAAACAGACATGTCGTTCGTCTCTCTCTCTTTTTCAAGCGCCTCAGCACCTATCGGTAGTGCAATTGTGGTGAGGCAACAATTCAAACAGTGGATTGCAGTTGGAGCGGAGATTATCCCTGGCAGTATCGACACACCCGTTCACGTGCCAGTAACCTTTCGTACATGAGGTCAAGCATTGATGACTCACTCCCACACACAGGCGAGCTTAGCGTATGCTCATTCATTACTTCATAATGACAGCTAGCAGACGTGCCGCCCGTCCGCTATCCATCCTGCCTAGCTGTAAAGAAGACACACAAAGGATGCTTATAAACAACCAGTGCTAAGAGTATCTTTCAACGTGCAAATGCATCTGATGACCAAGACGAGACAGTAGGTTGCATTAATTCAGCTGATGTCATCTGCAGACGAAGAGCACTTGATCAGTCCTCATAGACGAATGGTGCAGATCGGCCTGTTTAGTCATCAGTTCCTATAAGTGAACTAAATTTAAAACGGCATGGCATATGCCAAACGATATCCAACCATTTTTCTCATCTTTCCAAAAAAAACGTCCAAAAGGAGGGTAAGGCAACGTCTCATGTGTTGCATATAAAATTAACAGGCCACACATTGATACCACTCAATTCTATGTGCTCTCTTTTTACTTCTTCATAGACTCTCCTGAGCAGTACCACTGATTCCCATTATTGGGCAAATCAAACAACGGTAATGGGCACAGTCCAGGTCTATTTCCTTCCTACACCACTCAAATCAGAGACCCTAACTATGGTGGAGGCAACATGACAAGTGCTCACAATCCAGGCTACAGTATTGACAGCGTTGCCTTTAAGTATCTTCCCTATGGAAGTGGTCCATACTTGCTGCGACTCCAAAACGAGGTAGTTGCAAACCTCCTCTGCTCACTTCGATGGGAAATATAAAACACTCGTCGGATTTTGAGATTCCTTATTCCTCGCTTCTCTTCATTCCTGAAGGGAATGCAAACTCGTCGCCAGAGGGATCGAACAAGTCTGTCGAGGTCATGGGATGTATGGGTAGGTCTGTGAGCACTTCCACTAATCTTCTCGATCCTCTTGTTTCATCGACTCCCGATCTCGTGTTCGATCCCTACGAATTTCCTCAATTTTCAATTGCGCAAAACAAAGGCAAGGCCCAAGCATACAGGCAGCTCTCAATATGGCAGTCAAGTTATAGTTACTGTGAAAGGAGTTGGTAACAGTGGAACAGCCTCTTCAATCAACGGCGGTGGTGGTAGCAGTGCTTCTAACCGCACCTCAAGTTCCGACAAGCAGACAACCCCAAGGTTCTCAATGGACGAGAATTTTTCCGCTCTAGCGATTGCTCAGAAGTCCACAACTCCCGTTGCTATCAACGTGACTTAACGTGTCGCCGATGCTAATGCTGCGACTTCTTCCCCTTCCTCTTTCACCAATCCCATCACAGCCTCCACCACCACCTCCTCCACCTGTAACCTTCCCAGCTTGATTTTATCCAGTCAATCAACCAATACTGCATCAGCCGAGGCCCCTTCAAGAGTCAAGAGACTAATCGAATGAGCGGTTTACAGACCGGTAGTGCTTCCTCCGGAGAAGCGAATTCGTGTGGCTCTCTGCAACCCCTCAACAACAATTAGATCAACGGCATTCCTCATTGCATAATAAATAACCAGTTTGGAATGCCTGGCCTGCTTAAGCTCATGGAAATCAAGTCTCCTCTAGCGATCTTTGCTCGTGGAATAGACCAAAGCAAGACAGACTGCAGAAACTGGCCTCCACCTCAGTTGGTCTTCAAGCTTTACTTTCCTCTTCCAGTCGTTATTTGTTACATGTGTGCATTTGTTCATAAGAATGCTTCCATTTATTAGGCAGGAGAAAATCTCTCAACTGAATAAAGGTTGTCATGTGGGTCATGGTTTCCTAACATTGACATCCTCTTCCTTATTACTCGGCATTCCCCTTTGGTAGCACTTCTAGTGGAGATGCTTCGCGGTGCATACAATTTTTAGGACCCCATTTGTGTTTTCAGTAAATTACACAGTATTTTCACCTCGCCTTTGGCTGACCAATACACGTTGCTAGCACATAACACGGACTACCAAGTACCTACGGAGAACCGATTCCGTCATCGAATTGCAGGTCTACTTCCCGCTGGTCCTTTATTGGAAATACTCATCCATGAAATTCTCTTCTGGCTATTCTACAACTGCTTTTATGAGGGGGTTCAACTGGTTGCCGCCAAGGAACTGTCAGTCCCATCCTCTCATTCTTGTCTACTTCGCATGCATCATAGGCATGTTACACCCTCATTTTCCTCAAAATTGCTTTAAAAGATGGAATCTGGTAGGGATAAAGAAAGGGAACTAAGCTGTTCTAGGCAATTTCTGACTACAGATACCATC